CATAAGATTAATTATCTCTCTTGCAGCGCAAAATAAGTGGAAGATATTCCAAATGGACGTGAAATCGGCATTTCTAAATGACTATCTCGAAGAAGAAACTTATGTGGAGCAACCAATGAGCTATAAAATAAAAGGACATGAAGGTAAAGTCCTGAAACTAAAAAGGCTTTATATGGGTTGAAACAGGCTCCAAGGACATGGAATAGTAGAATTGACAAGTATTTTCTAGAAAATGACTTTACAAAATGCCCTCACGAGTATGCCCTTTATACAAAGGTAAATAAGAAAGGAGATATTTTGCTTGTTTGTTTGTATGTAGATGATCTTATATTCACAGGAAATAATCAAAGTATGATCACTGAGTTTAAGAAGGTCATGGCTCAAGAATTTGAGATGACGGATATCGGCTTTATGGCCTACTATCTTGGGATAGAGGTAAAGCAAATGGAGGATTGCATTTTCATCTCACAAAAAGGATATGCGAAAGAAATTCTAAAGAAATTTAATATGGAGGACTGTAAGCCCGTATGCACCCCCGTCGAATGCGGAATCAAGTTGTTGAAGAATGATGAAGGTGAAAAAGTAAATCCAACACTTTTTAAGAGTCTTGTTGGAAGTCTAAGATATTTGACGTGCACAAGACCAGATATCCTTTTTGGAGTTGAGCTCATTAGTCGCTATATGGAAACACCTACCATGACCCATATGAAAACTGCAAAAAGAATTCTTCGCTACATCAAAAGTACGCTTGATTATGGCTTAGTCTATTCATCATCTAATGAGTTCAAACTTGTTGGATATAGTGACAGCGATTAGGGCGGAGATAGTGATGATAGAAAGAGTACGACTGTGTATGTATTTTACTGGGGCGACACAGCTTTCACTTGGAGCTCAAAGAAGCAATCGATCGTAGCACTATCTACATGTGAAGCTGAATATGTTGCAGCTACATCAAGCGTCTGCCATGCGATTTGGCTTAGAAACTTGTTGAAGACGCTTGGAGTATAACAAGAAGAGCCAATCGAAATCCATGTTGATAACAAATCGGCATTGGCATTGGCAAAGAACCCAATATTCCATGATAGAAGCAAGCACATTGATACAAGATATCACTTCATAAGAGAAAGCATTGCAAAGAAAGAAGTGCAGCTGAAATATGTAACCTCTCAGGAGCAGATCGCTGACATTCTCACTAAGCCACTTGAGCATGATGTGTTTCGCAAGTTAAGAACTCTACTTGGAGTAGCAAAATCAAGTTTAAGGGGGGATGTTGAGTAGTAAACTTGATTTTTGGACTAAATAATACGGGCTTAAGGATTTTGCTTATAGGCCCAAATCAATTAAAAGGCCCAACATGCATAGCATTTCTAGAAGCATTATCTAGAAAAATCTATATAAATATCTAAGTAAGATATGTGGTTTTATAAAGAATATCTAGAGAATTCTAGGAAAATATCTTGATGTGTGATCTAGGTATTTCTAGAAAATGTGTGGACTAGAATCTTCTTGTAAACAATATATAAAGGGATAGTGCCCTCCATTTTGTAATAAGCCAAAAAAGTGTATAAAGTTTTGAATTTGAGAAATACAAGTTTTCTTTTTTCACTTCCTTCTTCCTATTAGTGTTGTCCTCTTAAAAGTTTTAACCAATCCAAGTTAGTAAACACATCTTTCCTCCAACAAACGTTCCTGTCATTAGCATATGAATCCTTTGTAGGGTTGAGGTGGGGGGATGATAGTGGTGCATAAGCAGCTTTCCATTTATGAAGAGACCATTCAATTCTGAGAGTTTAAAGAGCAAAACTTGAAAAAATCTGTGTGTAGTGGTTGTTATATTTACTGACTTAGCATAACGAGGGAAAGGCCAATCTAACGCCCAAAAGAAAGATTTCCATTTCATTTGATAATTTCACCTGGACCCCACCATTTTCTTTGTTTTTGAACACCATTTTCACCTGGACCACACCATTTTCTTGAGTTTTGACACTTCCATTTTCATTTTCCGTTTCCAAGAAAAACTGTTCTGAATCATAGCTTCATATTAGTTCGTTAAAATGCTCCTTCAAGTTTGCTTATATTGTTATTAAAGGAACATTCTTTTTCCAGTGTATATGTAGACCGGGGAGTAAATTTTTAAGTACCTCCTCAGCCTCGAACCTTGAAGAGAGCCTTGTTATGGACCGGTTTATCTTTATAGACGTTGATTCGTAATATTCTATCTGCAGCTAACAAAATTTATAGAACTGAAATTTATAAATATAACTCATATGTGTGAATAAAGAAAATAAATTTTACTTTATAAAGCAATACTATGAATAAAGGGTAAATAATTATGGTGTGCTATGATAAAAAAAAGGGAATTTTGCATAGATGTCCCTACATTATTAATTGCAAATTTTTTTATAACTTTTTCAAAAGGTGCTCAAAAATATTTTTTATTTTTTTTATTCAAAATGTCAAAATTACTCTTGTTGATATCTTTTTGGGTATATTTATTGCTCATTAACGCTAATTAATGCCATATTTGATGTTTGATTTCTGTAAGAAAAACCTATGAATATATCTAATATACAATAGATAATAGAATTGTTAACCAAAAAATAAATAATAAAAATTATTTCATAATCTTTTCCATCATATGCTAACTATAAATATCGACAATTCAACTGTTAAAGTCGAAAAAGACATTTGAACTGCAAGTCTCAAAGGTTGCTAATATTTGATATAATTTATTCGTAGGTGCTACTTGCATGATATTAAAGTTTGATATATGAATTGTGCCGAATGCTTATCATTAATATTTCAAATTTTCAAGCATGAGTAATAATCTAATATTCATGGTGTTGCATGGACCAAGTTGGGCACAATCGAGCCACATGTTTGAATCACATTCCAACACCATCCATTAAAGTTGAATGATGTTTAAGCCTTAAAGTTGTATTTTGTACACTGCAATGATGATATTCGTTGTTTATGTTATATTTTCATTTTCGTGTTATAATTGTTGTAGGTTTTATTCGACTACAAAAAACGATCTACTTTTTACAAAACATAAGATTTCATTAATTACGAACTGTTAAGAAGTAAACTAGACAAAATATTCGAGCATAATGATTGATCAAATACAAAAACTTACATATATACATTAACACGTAATCTTCTATAAAAATAGAAAATTTAAATATAGCCAATAACATGAAGCATTGTTCGCCTACGTCAAGCGTCGTCGACATTTGAACTTTCGCTCCCACTAACTTCCTCCTTATCGTCTAAACTTATGACAATGACATTAGGTGGTGGAATGTTACGAATCAACTCTTCATTACTAAAGTCATCTTTATAAGAAATCATGTGTTCATATCATCGACTTTATGGTTGAGTGATTGAGATTATTGGCTAAAAACGTCATCCAAGTTGGGAAAAGGAATTTACTGGTAGTATCGTTAATCATCTAACATTTTTATAAACGATTTCTTGCAAATGATATCTGTATAGTTAGACCTATTACACAATAAAAATGTCTTTTCACCCATGAACATTGACTAAACAAATATAAAAATAAGTTGTTTGATGTATATATCATGATATAACTTTAAAATAATACGAAATTATAAGTCCAAAAGCAATACATAGTTGATGTCAATGAAGTCCTATTGCGTACTATTCTCCATCTATTTCGGCTATTCTTAGTGT